AACAAAATAAATACAAATAATGTTATAATTAATATTGAATATACATACTTTTGTATTTATTGAAATTACCTGTTATACTTTAGGAAGCAATAAAATAGGATTCTCTTATGTCCAATACATTTACCACCAAAGTTTAAACTGTCAGATCCATTTTTTACATTTTCTGCAAATAATCGACATTTTTAATGGAACCGCGTGATGAAATAAGACATATATAACTTACCAGATCCCTTTTTTATATTTTAATTCGGTTAGAAGTATTTTAATGGGGGGTACAATATTAGCTACTACTTTCTAAAAAAATAAAATAATTAAAAATTAATTAATTAATTTATTGTTTTTAATCAATAAAAACATTAACTTTCATGAACATTTTTTAAATAACTTGGAATTAAACCATCTATAAAGATTGGAAATTACTGAGCCATGGATTATTTTTAAAATTATTTACAGTCACTAACACTAATACTGCAATACTATTTTGCTCTCTTCTAATTAAGGAGTTATACACGTTCAAAAACTATCTACTTAGGTTTAATATCTTGGGAACGGCATGCTCAATATTAAGAATATTAGTATCATATGATAGGTCATAGAAAGACCTGGTGTTAATAACTAAAAAAGTACCTATAATTAGAATAATTAAATCCAAAGCTATATGAAAATTAATAAAATTGTATTTATTTAAAAAAGGTGGGTTTAAAAATATCTGATTTCAATATTAAATATCTTATATGGGCAATTTCGTGTCGAGTGACCCAAGTCAAAAAATAATTTATGTATAAAACAGTAGTATTAATTTCAATATAATGATTCCAGATAGCGTTTGAATACTTTAAGTAAAAATTTTAATGTATTTTGTTTTTGTTACAATAATGAAATACAAATAAAATTTTAGCTCAAAGTGATCATACGTAATCTAGAAACAGGACCTAAACGCGCTAATAGTTTAAAAAACGTACAACGTGAAAAAGTCTTTAAATGCTTATAACTCCTAAACCATTTAAGAGAGATACGAAATTTAATATAAAAACATTTTTAATTAAACATATTAGACTTCGTTTAAAAATAATGGAAATGGAAGCCGTTTAGAGTTGTTAACTTATTCCTAAAATAGTATTTTAATGTAAAATATGACAACTTACTTTTTAATTTAATTTATATAATCCTTGAAGATAATTACTTTTTGGTATATATTTAATAAACTTCGCCAATTAACAAAACCTTCTTAAATGTTTATTAACAGTTGACTTTTAACACAACACTGTCATATTGTTTTTTATTACTTAAGATTCACATTATAATAATTACACTATTTTTCTATGAACATTAAATTCAATAACTCATTTAAGTTTAACAATGAATAATTAAAACTAAACATGACTGGACAAAACGCAAAACATCACTGAACTTAGCTAAATTTCTGCATTATTTATTTTTATTTTTTTCGCGTTCACGCTAAAAAATGGAGTATTTATATTTTTTTGTTTTTGTACTCTTCTTACTTTCATACGGAAGTAACCTAAAACTATACTTTCAGACGGCGAAAACTAGAAATCAATGTATTTTGTTTTTGTAAAATGTATGCTCTCGTCTGACAATCGTCCAGAAGTGACTAAAATCCACACTTCCAGATGAATAAAATACAACATTAATCTGAACACTCTTCAAACTGTCTTCCAGAAGTGACATAAACATACAAATCAAGAAGACACAAATTAGGAAACAATGTATTTTGTTATTGTAAAATGTGTGTTCTCACCCAACTCTCATACAGAAGTCACTAAAACGTATACTTCCAGATGAAAAAAGTTCAACAGTCATGGTTTTTTGTTTAAGCAAAATGGATGCACTCTTCTAACTATCATCCGGAAGTAACTTAAAAGTGTATTTCTAGAAGACGAAAATTCGAAATCAATGTATTTTGTTTTTGTAAAATGTGCGTTCTCGTCTGACAATCGTCCAGAAGTGTTTCTGACGTGGCGTCTGGGATGATGCGCAATAGTTTTGTCTTCTAAATGTTTGAAGGGTCACCTCTTATCCCTGTATCGACCCCTTTTCGTTGTTGTCGTCATCATCATTATTGACATCAAAAAACATCATTATTGTCGATGCTAAAAAGTTTCAAAAAATATGTTTTTTTTTTTGTTTGCATTAACATTTTTCTTTCAGTGTTTTCTATTTCGCCTTACAACACCAAAATCAGCACATAAACTTAATTTCTTGAGAAAAGTTTCTTGAGTCGTATGTGATTTATGTGTTTAGTTTTTATGTAACATTCAGTACTGAATACAGAGTTCGTAAATAGTATTTAATGTGTAAGTGTGAACATACATTGTCTGTAATGATTGTAATGATGATGACGTTTAAAAGTAGGATGTTGTGCAGTTAATGCAAGTAATAATGTTTATGATCGTATTCTATTTATTAACACTGTGTCCTTGTTGTATATTTTATAGCGATACTTGTTGTAGTCGATAAAATCGAAGGTTTTATTTGTAAAACATTTTATGTAGAAGTTTTTTATTTAGAATTACTGTAAGAAGAAATAGTTGAACATTTAATTTAGGCGAATCCTTCGATAGCAAACTGTATGCATTGACATCGAAGGAGCCATAACGTGTACACTGATACTCTTATCCAATCCTTAGTCCAGTTTTATTTTGACCAGGTGCTCCGTAACAGGATCAGTTGCATGCTAAGGAATAGATGGATAAGCTGCGAAATGTATTATATAACTATCAGAAAAAGGGTATTTCGCATTACACCATTTGGCATTTTGTCCCCTTTAATTTTGGTTACCACGATTAATAGCCTCCTAAGATCCTAACCGGGAAAGGACTTAGACCTTTCTGCTATACAGATGATGTCGTAATACTTCTAATGGGAAAATATCAAAATTACTTGTGTATAAGAGCTGAGGAGACTCTGAATACGGCCTTGATCTGAGCTTAACCGAAAGGTCTCCATATTAACCTGGCGAAGTCAGAAATCTGACTTTTCGAAGAAAGACAAACATTTATAAGTGTACTGAACCCTGTTTCCAGGGCAAGAAAATACCGGTGACAGACAGAGAGAGTTAAGTACTTAGGTGTAATCCTTGACCAGAAATTAAAATGGAGACACCGCATAGAGGATAGGATCAAGAAAGAACATCTGTGCTGGGCAGTATGTAGGATAGCTATAGGCATGAAATGGGATCTTAGTCCTACTATGATACATTGGCTTTATAAAATTGCTGCTTGGGTATAAGTGGTGCCATGAGTTTGCTCTGTAGACGTTGCTGTATATACCACCCATTGAAACATATTTAAGATATGAGGCGGCACGCAATTTTAGGCGAACTGGCCAAAAACGGTTATAGGATACGTCATCAATGTATACTTGACACATATGAAGGCTATACACAATCAAGGAAACGTGCCCCCGGGCTTGTTGATGAATGAAACGTATTTTATACCATTGAATTTTCGTTCCTTGTCCAGGTATGTTCAGAGAAATATGCCAACACGGCAGGTATTCACGTAAAGAACTTCGACCTTAATCATCGGACTTACCTGATCGTATACCAAACACAAAATATGGGACAAAGTGGACAGGGCAAAACACAGGGCTTAAAATATTTACCGACAGCCAATTGGTGCGATATCAGGTGATAAAGTTTTGGATGTTCCTATGGGAGCAAAACGTGAAATCTCCTCAAAATGAACAAGTTTGAGGTTAGTATGATGTTATGTATTCTGAGTGGACACACAGAATTACGGAAACAGCTGTACAAAATTGGAAGTGCGGATTCAAATGAATGCAGAGCATGTAGATAGGACAGTTAAACTTTGGAGCATTTTCTTTGCTACTGTCAGGCATTCGTTGAAATTAGAGTCAAATACCTTGGGAGCGATATTATTGCGGATAAACATTCTTCACGAACACTGATTGGAAAATTCATTGGAATTACGTCCAGGAGGCATTAATACCAAGAGTTTTTTATAAAAAGGAATATGGGGTCCAAACGGTGGAGGAGCCTTCTTCATTCACACATATAAAATTTTTTTTGTGGTCGCGGCACTATTGTCAAATATTTAACAGGTTTGAACACGGCTTAACTGAAATTTATGTCCATATGTGAATGTAACTTTTAGTTAGGGTTTTGAAATTAATCGTTTAAACTTAAGACTATTGTAAACTTTATAGTAAATTATTTTCAAACAAGTTTCTAGAATGAAAAGCTTTTTACATTAAATATATATAAAATTAAAAAGTTACTTTACAATATGTTGTAAACTAGTTGTATAATATAGTTTAAATCTCAAATTTGTTTGTTCCAATTTACACAACTTTACATTGAATTTCATAAACAATTATTGAAACTAAGCCAAATTGGCAAATTCGCCAACATTTAAGTTAGATATACAATTTACTATGATAAGCAGAGAAGACAACTATGTTACATATTTCTGTTATTTATTTTTTTGATAGTAATTTTGTTTTTTTTGTATAAGTTTTAAAAGATGAATACAATTTGGAACTAAACTTTTAATAAAATAGTTTAAATAAACAAATGTTATATTATATAATATGTTTAAGTCCGTTTTGTTTCGGCGATTCCTTGGAATATTAATACATTCCGTATTAACTGTCATTATAAGTATGTATTCATATTTATTATTACTTAAATTGAAGAATAAATAGCTTTCATTATACTTTTTTCAATTAAAATTGAAGGTAATAAAGAAAAATGGAAAATACTTTAGAAATTCATTCATTCATGTATTTCTTCACACACACTCAAACAAATATGAAAGAGAACTTATTTTACAACATTATTTAAATTAGTTTTATACTTAAAGCTCGAAGTGTCTAGTAGCAGCAGTAGGACGAATAATAAAATGTTAAATGTGTTTGTAAATTATGACAAAAAACACACACACCTGCAACATACAAAAATGATGACATAATTAAAACAAATGTTTATTTGTTGTTTTGTTTCATTATCATTACAGAGTCCTAAATATGCACCACCCATTGAGTTTGTTGACGAAGCTGCTCTAAGTCCTCCCGACGGCTACAAAGATAATGGCTTGAAAAATACACTTGGTGGTGCTTTGAGCGGACACATCTTTGGTGCTCAACACCTCCAGCAATTACAAGTTATACAACGTTTGCAACAGCAACGTGCAGCCATGCTGGCAGCTCGAAATAATTCACAAATCCCGCCTCCACCACCACCAGCTACTGCTACCCCAGCATCAGCAGCATCTGTAAATCAACAATCATCATCAACGGCATCATCAACATCCTCACCACTGACATCTTCATCATCGTCAACACCGTCAGCCACAGCAGCAGGTGCTGCTTCTGTTGTTGCAACAACCGTTGCCAGTAACAATAGTATGAACCAAAGTGCTGCAACACAACAGCATTCACCAGATGACGATACACAGGGTGTGTGTACTGAGTGTGCCGAATGCGCAGAATGTGCGGCCAAACAATTACAGCAGGATACAGGTAAATTATGTTTTTATTAACAATTTCTACTCTCGGGTTCTATTTTTTTCGGTTAATGTTTTCTACACAATCTTATTATTAAGTGATGTAACATGGAATGATTCGGATTTAGTTAATCGGACCTTTTTATATTATAAAGAGGCTCAGTTGGCGAAGTATTTTTACTAAATACTATATAGTCCGATTCTGATGTCAGAGAGAAACTGAGACAATAACTATAACTCTCTATGAACTTTAGATCACAATAAAGCTCATCTTAATAACTGGTAACATTCAACTTCAAGTTGCAGGATAATAACTCAGAAGTTGAGCAACCTGAATTTTGTATTATCATGTTCAAATGTTTCTAGCATGTATTCTAAGTATTAACAGACACAAGAGTACCTAATTGAAATATGCGACGATCATGAAAATAAGCGGTTAGAATCGAGTCCATTCTAGGTCGTAAGGTGCTACTAGCCATATAAATGTGCTGTTCTGATCAATGGCCTTAACCCATTTTATAGAGAGAGGAATTTCACCCTGACTACTCATTTTATTCATTGACTAGTTTTTATGTGTAGTACTACTAGGAATGCCAAACAGGACTGGGATTTTTCGGGATCCCAGGATTTCGGGATTACATAATTTTAATTATTTTATACACGAAAATCTTAAATCTTCATGTTTGTGAAGAGAATTGTTTAATCTTGTGGAAATTAATCGACAGAAGATAATTTTAAATTAAAGCAATCCAATTAATTCCAATTCTTAAATAAAAACTTTTAGAATATCATAATTTCAGAAATTTGGTAACTACATACATACTTCCTAAATAAAAACAAGAAATTATGGCCCAAAAAAGAATTAAAAAAAAAAATTTATAACAAATCCGGGATTCGGGATATCCTAATCCCGAAAAAATCCCGGGATTTATTTTGCAAGTCCCGGGGTTCGGGATTGGCATCCCTAAGTACTACTCATCGATTAGGTATTTAATAGCAACTTGACTATCAGTACATATACATAAGACTGGTCTGGATATTTCAAATTGAAAGCTAGAAAGATCTAAACAAATGTTTTATGTTTTTAAATCGTTTAAAAATGTTTTCTTCAGTTTTATTTCTTTAACTTAAAATTTTACTTCTGTAAACCGATCAAAACTTATAAATCCTAATGATTAGATTCCAATATATGCACATTACACCTATATCGAAAGTAAATCTAATGTTTACGAAACTTTGTTTGTTATAAAATGAAAAGATTTTTTGGCCGAATTTATTTTTTCTACTAAAATTGCATGAAGTCAGCCTATGATTTCATTTATCATATAATAAACATAACCAACGCTCAGAAAGCATAATATACGAATATAAACTCGGTTTTTTATTATTCAAATCCGCAACAGCCAGTTTGCTTTGCAAAAAAATATGTATTTAAAAAAAATATGTATTTAAATACAAAATGTTGCAAAATGTGAATGTTAAATACTCATAATGACGAGGAAAGAATTTTGATGAGAATTAACTTGTGTGGTTGTGTTAAGTAGAATGTTTGTCAGGACATTAAAAAATACAAAAACAGAAAAAAAAAACAATCTGACAAATGTGTGACAAGGCAAACATGTCATCACTGTGCCACCCATTTACCCATATTTACAGTCCACTTGCACTCATTTGATGTCTGTTTTAGGTGTAAAACTTTCCATCCATGCAAAACAATTCTTCTGACGTCCCCAACCAACCCTTTCAACCATTCATTTTCACAATTATACTGTGTGCATATACCGACTGGCAATGATGCAATTAGTCTGGGGTGACTCTAATGGCTTTTGACAACAAATTTTACCCAATTGGTTTCTATGTGTGTATTTTAGCATGTGTTACATACATATTCACACATAATTTTACGTGTTATGTGTCCGTACGTCCGTCCACAGTTAGACGCCTCTGCATACAGAGTGCCTCTTAAACCTTTCCTACAGTGTTTGAATTCATTATGCTCGACTTTACATACATATTAAATGTTGTGATTCATCTCAAAACCACCCAAACACAATGGGAAAAAAGAAAAAAAGCTCAAGACAACTTTAAGAGTTGTGGCTTATTTTTTGTTTTTTTTTTTGAACTTCATTTACATATGACTGACGACTACGTTTGCAAATTGCGTAATAAATGCAAACATCAACCATAATTTATGGATAAGATGATGTATGGATGCGAAGGATGCACGTTTACATTTAAAATGACTGTTTAGTTCTATTATACATATATTTGCGAAATGTTTGATTTTGATTTGGTTAAAGGTTCATTGTTATATAATATTAATCATTATTGCTCCCATTTTTACAACTTCCGGTTATTGTTTAACCGGTAGTTATTCTGGTTAGGACAATTTTTATATGAATACTGTCTTTATGATATCTTTTTTCTACGTTATCGGCTGATTAATTCATTCACTTTATAATACTGTTTCCTTGATGAAGATACAATCTTGGTGTAATGCAACCCCGGGGTATAGAGGTGCTACCAGTACCTCTAGTCTGCCGGAACTATAAACTGGTAATGTCAATTCACTCCTCGGACTTTCCTTGGAAAGATTTGACATGAGGTTGAACCAGAGAACCACATAATCTGGCACTTCGGGTGGCGAGTTCGGAATCCACGTAGTGGCTGTGATTTAAATCCAAATTCGCGGGAAGACAAAGTGACGTTTAAAGGACTGATTTTGTTGGGTGCTGTTGTAAACGTTGGAAATGAGTCGGTCTACCGGTCTACTTCGGTCTCGGAAGTTAAGCAACGGGACAGCAATGGTCAGAAATTAGATAGCTAGACTCTTGAGCAAAGTGCTTGTACATGGACCGGCACGGCCATGTAAAAAAATTGCCACCTGCGGTAAGATACACAATGCAGTAGTAGTGAGTCGTCAAATTAGCTCACCCGGTGGTTGAAAAAGACCACCGTGAAATAAGGCCAACACGGCAGTTGTTCATGTAAAGCACTTCGGCATTCAATACCCAGAAGTTGGAAAGACAGCCCCGAACTACCTATTTAACCTACCACTTATGGTTACGCTAGCCACCGACAGTCCAGGTGACTAGCTATTTTAACATGTGCTTGTCGTACGAGGAAGTCAATCGTCACCCCATAGGTTACAAAAAGCTTAAGTTTGTTTTTTCAGTGTTCCCTCTCTTGCTTACAATGGAGTGACGATTATCTTCACCCTCGTTTACAAAAAGTACATTCGTGCCGAAAGTCGAATGAGAGCCAACCAAGTGTTTAGACGTTAGTGGAAATTACTGTTTTTTTCGGATGCATTGACTCTGTCGAACTGCTGGGTATTGAAAACATACATACCATTAAAGCGTTTATAAGCTGAGAAGGGTTATAACTTTTTATAATTTTTGCAACTATTAGAAATACCATAGCAACACCTTCTAGAGAGTGAACAGACAAATTCACAATATGATATTATTTTTTCGTGATCATCCTACATGATTAATTTTATGTTTCTAGGTTTAATGTTATAGAAAATTCAAAAAGTAGCTTTTGAAGTACCAAAAAGTCTCCTGATAGGTTCACATTTACTCTGGGGCGTACATGCTTAATTTTATGTTTCTAGGTTCAATGTTATAGAAAATGCAAAAAGTACATTTTGAAGAACGAAAAAGTACCAAAAAGTTCCCTTTTATAGGTTCTCAGGTACTCCAGGTTTTACATGCTTAACAAAACTTATTGCAACCAAAAATAAATGTAAATCATTTATAAACCCGAACGAGAAAATATAAAATTATTTCAATTCCATTAATGTGTAACGAATAACGACAAAACCACCCGAAAATGTTCACAAATGATTGAACATTTCATATATGAATTATTGTATATTGAGTTGTGTATGTATGCTCATTTACATAATTGTCCATAAAATAATATTATCTTTAAGATATTTACCTACTTATATACATACATACATAAACTTACAAATATATAAATGTATGTGCGTTTAAATATTCTTTCGTAACATGGAAATACATATTAAAAGCTAGCTCTCACAGTGTTTCCCAAACATTTTTCTTTCATAATTATACCAAAGTCTTTGCTAAACAAACTAATTAAAAATTGGCCAAAACAAAACCGAGATGTTTCGGAACAAATTTGTTGCAAAAATTTTCTGATTTTCTGCAATATTAAAAAAAATAAAAGAAATTATATAAAAATTCCTTCAATTTCGATTACTTCATTCCAACAATTGAGATCATCTGTGCCAAAAAAAATTATTTTCAATGGTTTTTATTTTATGTTCATTTCTTTTTTATTATATTTTTCTTGTTCTTTTGTTTTAATAACAATCATTTAACATTCCCGATTTGTTAAGAATGACGTCAATAATAAAATTGTATGTTGCCAATATCAACGAACCGTAACATTTATTAATAAATAAAAAATAATAATAAAAGAAAACAAAGACAGAATAAACTTATGTACTTCTGATTTACCTTTATAGCTATTGTGCGTCCGACCAATCCCTTTAAATAATAAATTTTTAAATTATACAATGACTGATTGACTAACTAACTGACTGTCTGACTGAACGATTTAATTGATAATTAATTCCACCCCTTATGGAGCAGCAAAGCGCAGACATCATAGAATATTTGTGAGTTGTTATTTTGTTAACGGCATCAGCAGTAGCTGTCATTCAAACTGAAAAAAGACAAATTTAATAAAATATTTTTTGTTGTTGTTGTGTTGTAAATAGTTTGAAATCCTTCAACCATAATTCCGTATATTAAAGAGCAGAGTTGGGTGGACGAATAGTAATAAGGTTTATGTACTATGTATAATCAACAAGTCTATAAACAAAAATTTAGTTTTGACATTTTTAATTTATTTTTTTAGGAAATGAATTTGTTTTTTGTGTACATTAGGGTATAGCTTTTATACAATTCCATTCCACATAGAGTATAAAAAGTACGGTTTTGCACCCAAATGACACAAGTAAAATGTTTTCTTTATTAGATCACTACTGTCTACCTGGTAGTGATAGTGCCTACTTTTAGTTATGACCCTAATGTACATACATCCTTATACAATAATACCTTTGAAAATATAACCAAATTATAATAAGTAGTCCGACTTTTTGTCAGCAGTATCTAGCTCCCTTTTAGCAAGAAAGTACCCCATGCCGTTCAGGGGGACAGTGCCGAACACCCAAATGACTAGCTTTTTTTAACATGTTATTGTTTTAAAGGGAAATCAATCATGACTCCATAGATTACAAAAATAAGTTAAATATCTAGTTCGGGACTATCCCCCCAAACTGCTGGCTGCTGGGACCTAACACTAAATATGCGTAAGTAATAAAAATGTAGAAGTATTGATACATTTCCAATGTTATGTATGTTTGTTATACGCACTCCTTGGCTACGCCCAATAGTATCTGATCGGACCAGCCGTATAGAATTGCCAGATTTATTTGCAAAAAATCCGATTTTGTCCCACTGTGTACCGGTTTGCGAGGCGCAAAACTTTAGAAATCAATCGACAGTTTTGCGTCTCGCTTACACTGGTATTAATTCGTATAACTTTTCAAAATTATGCGTTGTCTGCGTTAACTGCTTGCTTTAGTATCACCTCAAAGTGAGGTTATGTTTGATTGGGGAAGACCATAGAATACTCAACGGTTTTTACCCTGGTGGAGATCATTCAACACTCTGAATGTTAATAGCTTGGTGGAGACCATTGAAACTCTTTTCTACTTTTCCAAGCGTCACAAACGCACGAACATGTCAACTTGTTTTGACAAGTTATATTCTATTTGTACCCTACACCACTTTATTAGGAAGGGCATATTGGGTTTGTGCTGATATTTGTAATACACACAAATATTAGTCATATGTATATCCATCTTAAAGTATAGAAATCGTCCGTCTGTGTGTTCGGGTAAACGTTGCTAACAAAGTATATCAAATCGAAGTGCATTACTTTATTCAGGATGGTGAGCTTGTTATACGACTCACCATCGCCCCTTTGTGTTTCTGAGATCCATGTATAAGCAGTTTACTTAAGTACTCGAGGTATCTTATCTCTAACCATTGTTGCCGCATTGCTTTACTTCGGAGAAGCAAAAACATCACTTCCGTTTACAACCACGCAGATGGGATGGCCCCTGTTGATTCGGCAACTGCTCCTAGAAACGTAATCGGTAGACCCAATTATGAATCCATCAAATAAGCCGATAACTTTTTCTTACTTACAGAGAACACACTGTGATAAATGTGGTATGAATAGATTAAACCTTGAACATACCCTGACAAGGAAGAGAAACTCAATGGTATCACTTGTATAAGATAACTTATATCCATTACCACTCTTTGATAAAAATATCTGGCACTCTCACTCTAGATTGTCTCTTTTTGGCAACAGCACAGAAATAATCCCGAATGCATAAGTTTTTTAACCAACATTATCTTTCTGCGAGTTTGGGCTTAAAACCATAGCCACCTCATGCTCCCCGAAGGGACCTCTTTAAAGAAAGGCCGAAAATACACTTAAAACCAACAGTTTATAGTCCTGCCAAAGTAGAGGTATTGATAGCACCTCTTTTCCCCTGGATTACAATAACACCAAGGTGAAAAAGATTATCAAGGAAAATGGAGGCAGAATTTCAGTGACATGAGCTGTCGAATGTGTTTAACGGGAATTTTAGCCCCATCGATTACAAAGCCAATATTTGAGGTGGTGAAATTGATCACTTCCTTTTAGAGGTGCTTCGAGGTGGAGCTATGAGAATTTATACCTAAATTTTTGGGCATTGTCTCCTTTGCCGGTTTGAGCCAATAACCGGTACAGGACAACATCTAAAGCTCTATCCTGTGGGCTACCGGATAGAGCCCGTAAATGTCAAATAATTCCAAGGAAAGGACGGGGATACGTTTGATTACAGTCCCGATAGACTAGCGGTACTGGTAGCACTTCTTTTCCCAGGGATTGCAATAACATCAAGATGGGAGAAGATTCAACAAGGTAACTAACTAAGCTTATCGAAAATTGTTGAAATCGGTAAATAATTTCCCCTAGTCGCATTATAACCGAACCCGCTGAATTCGGGTTTGAGCTTATTACATGTTAAATATTGAAAATAATGATCATGATTATCATACCAAATATCTTAATGATCGTACTTCATTTGATCCTAGCCCACATACAAAACCCACTTAAGAAAATTACTTTCTTTCAGATACAACCAAAAATTTACACCTAAAAAGTGTTGTAAGGTATGGACTTTCTATTTAATCAATTATGTGATAAAAAAATCGAGAATTGTCTCGAATTTAATATTAATCTAAATATCACTTGAACTAAAAGAGCTAAATTCTATTCGTACATATATTTCTTTAATATTTATCTATACACAAACAACAAGTAGTAATTAGTTTATTTAATTGATATTTTCTTATTCATATTCATTTTCAGAATGCAATTCACCTCAATGTCAAGAGGATCTGCAAGCACCTTTGGGTGTACCAGCTGTTGCTCTATTGCCCATACACACCAGTTCGCCAGAAAGACGTATGACACAAAAGGAAATTATTGCTGGCGAAGAACGCCCACGTTATGTCCTGCAGGCACAATATAAATCATCACCAGGTACATTTGCTTTTGTAATCTTCCTCTAGTATTAATTTCATTATTAATTCCTTTACAACTACAACATTTGTTCATTTGTTGTTTGCACTTTATTTAATGAAATTAAATGAAATGCAATTTCATACAATGACTTTTTCCCATAATAAAATATTCTATGTAATATTTATACTCTTACATAAATATATACATACATATGTACATACATACATAAGTATGTATGTACGTATATCTGTCATCATTGTAAATAATCATCATGACAGCAGAAACAATAATTGCACGTGCGCCATATTAAAAATTATACAAAATAAATAATGTACAAATAACTACATACATGCATATGTATGTTTGTATCTTGTATATTAATTACATACATACTACAGTATGTATATTTGCTTAAAATTACTCATACATACATACATAATGCATTAAATACACAAACATAAATATTTATATAAAATTTATATTATAAATAGATACACGTATTATAGATTTGCATACAACCAGACGTCATTTATCTAATTGATAACTGCTGCTTCTGCTAATCGTAGTATGTACCTGTATTTGCAAAATTAACGAACTAAAAAAATAAATTGAAAATTGCAATTCAAACATTAGTCGTCATTAAGCATTTTTTGGTTTCAACTTCATTTTCATGCGAATATCTTTAGATGCTTTTTTTACAAACTCTTCTTATTCATACACATTGAATGCAAAAATATTGAATTTTTTAATGTTAATTCATTGGAAATTTTCTAATAAAAAAATAACAACATGCTCCAAAGCTACAGCACCTGTAATATGTATATAACATTATTTTTAAAATAGTAACTGATACCTACAGAATCTCGTAGAGTGATTAATGTTGTTTGGAAATATTGAATCTTATCACGATATCGATATGAATGTTAAATTTATTGCCATAAGACGATTTTTGATATTGAACTGAACAAAGAAAACAGGATATCGTTCTGTCAGAACAGAACAACCAAAGCTGTAGTTAGGTTGAAAAGAGGATGTAGCACATGTCACTCATTTACTACAAGACTGGCATAATCTAAATAAGTCGTTTCGAGCAAAATTGATATGAATGTTTAATGAAATTAAAATTCACTAAATGTTTTATCGTCCAATGTTCACAAACTCAGTTTCCTGGATGTAATTCCTAAGAATTTTCCAATCAGTGTTGGTGAGGGATGTTATATCCCGAATAATACCACACCAAAGATATTTGGTTCCAACTTCGGCGAAACACTGACAATGGCCAAGAAAGTGATCCAGATTTTCACTGTCCTCTCTATATGTTGAATCCGCAGGAACAATTTTGTATAGCTGTACCGATAAACCACTCGGAATACCATCATACTAACCTCAGACTTGCTTATTTTTAGGAGGCTACTCGTCCTGCTCTCGTTAAGGTCGAACCATAGGATCTTTGTGGTTCTATCCACCGTTTAATTATTTCAAGAGGCCTTATGGGTATCTCTCACCCATTGCGTTCGTCATGTTAACTATCTCGAGCTCCCTTCTCTTTAATGCTTTTATATTCGCTCTTTCGTTGCGATTACTTCCGAATGGCCTGGTACCAATATGATGTAAACCATACCTCTGGGAGAGTATTCAGTTAAAGCTTTCTTACAATCCAATAAGGTCTTAGATTTAACTTTTTCACCTAATATTGCCCTAATTTCCTTCTGGCTATCGGTAAATATGTTAAGCCGTTCGAAACCAATTGATGTATTCCGTTATTGCTCTTACTTCTGCCTGAAAGCTTGTGTTGTGATTAGGTAAACGGTGGTATATTTCAGTGTCTAAGTCTTCAATATAGAAGAAGAAAGCCCACGTTTTCAGAGCCTTAGTTGACTTAGTACTCTTGGCACCACTTATACCCCAGCAGCATCTACGCTGAACTTTGATATAACACTTTTTATTTAAAGAAGTCCACCACATTATTGAAGCATAAGTTAGAATTGGTCTAATTACACTTTTATAAAGCCAATGTGTTATAGTAGGAAAAAGGCCCCACTTCATGCCTATAGTTCTCTTACATAGCGCTCAGCATCGATGTGCCTTGTTGATCCTCTACGTGGTGTCTATATTTTACTTTCCAGCTTAAGGCAGTATTCAGAACCTCGTCGGCTGGATCCTTTCTCCTTAGAAGCATAGCATTTAGGTTTAAGTCCTTACTCAAACAAACAACAAAGATAGATAAAATGCCCACTTGTGTGAAATACCCCTTTCCTGGTAGCTACATCTTACATATAGCAGCTTATCCATCTCTTTCTTAGCATGTAGTTGATCCGGTTACGGAGCACCCGGTAAATATAAGAATTGGATAAGAGTATCAGTGTGACCGTTATTGAAGACGTCTTCGATGTCAATGCACACCGCCTGTGTTATAGTGGACAATTTCATTTAACGTGGTTTCGACACTTTACATTTCATTTGAGGTCTTGTATGGTATACTGCTTTTAACCACACCATAGATTACCAGTTCCAAGGTTTTTAGTAGGAAGGACTACTTGTGAAAAGACAGATTTCCGCCATCTTGTGGTTGACATTTAGCCCTCTTGATTGAACCCAGCCTAGAATCATATTTAGTGGCCTCCTCAGACCGCCTCTAGTCTTTTATGGTGCAAAACTGCCGATTGCACTGTTTACCATACTAGTTGTAAACTGTTTACAGAGGACAGCTGTCCTGGAACGAGGTATTACATAGCAAAATTCCGAACAGTATGTAACAATAGAACAACTATTGTAACCGATTTACAGAATTTCGATCTGTAAATTCTGTAAAATTTTATTATTATTTATACAAATAGTTTACCGACCTATGATTTTGAAAGCTTAATTACTGCGAATATATGAAAATTTAAATTATAATATTTTTAATGTATATACATTTTAGAAGTTGAAAACATTTAAAAGTTACACCTAATATTACTGTAAATATGTATAAGGATTATTTAAAATACTAACTAGTACTATAGCGACTTGAAGTATCTACCTTTAAAAATTAAAACAAATCATCAGACAATATATAAGAGCATTTCTAGTACGTACTTAATAAAGCAGAATCCCATATGATTTTCAAGAATCATACAAATAAAGAAAGTATAAGAAAATTAAACATAAAAAGAAAATTTAAACATAACTTAAATATTATAGTATTGTACTTAAACCTATACATACATATAAATGTGTACTTAAATAGTACATGACTATATTTACGTTTATTTTTCTTGCAGTAAATTTTGCCTACATTTTTGTTTGAAATACATGCATTTAATAAAATTCTTTATTGAGAAATAAAATAAAGGTAAATAGTAACTAGTACTACTTACCTATAGTTTGTAATGTACTAAATGAATGTCATTAAATGAAAAAAACTGTATGTTGCATACAATAATGATCATAAAAGTAGCAGCAGATAAATATAACTATTAATTGTATTATTCATACGAATGCATTATTCATGATCTCAATTCCGACCTAATACGATCTAAAAAAGTTTTTCTGTTCCCACTCTAGCAACACGTTAGTACATTTCCGCATATACCGGAATCGACACCGAAAACGAAATCGACAACGAAAATTAGGAACGAAGCGAAACCGATCAGCAACGAAAAACAAGTCATTTGAGGCCGGAACGAAAACAACTTCAAGTAGGTTGTTTTCGTTCCGGCAACGATCCTAACTGAAACGAAAAAATTTGGAAATGAAAGGGTGACGAACACCGACGTTTTTCAGTTTCAGTTTTCGATATCGTAGTCGATTACGGTGTATGTGGAAACCCAGCTTTGGTGGAATTAATATTAAAAAGACATGAATACTTCCCAGGAAATTCATATTTCTCTGAGAATGTCATTGAATATGCTCGTTGATGAGGCAACAGATGACATGGAACTCGGTTTCACTTGTATATTCAAGCAATTACTACAGTAATTAAAAAACTCACCCCTATTTTTGAAGGAAATTTGTTCAGGGTGTAGTTGGGAAACTTAACTCAAATTATTACATTAGATAATGCTTATTAAAAAATTGCTTTTGACCTATTTTGTTAATAAAAATACTGCTCTATTGCGTGTAAATAGCTTAAATTTAAAAAAAATGCAAATACTTGTTTTCGCAAAAACGACACTGCAATTTCTGTGATCTTTTCTGTGGACATGCAAGTACATATGTAAATAATCATACACAATTGCTTAGCTGCCTCATTGCATGAGTTTAAGTAGTAGTCATTCAGATAGACATCAAGTCGTTCCATGTGTTCCATATACATACTTGCTATTGCGCGATTTAGCTTTTCTTCGCTATTTTTTCTTCGCTTTGTTGGTTATATTCATTTAGCACATTTATAAAATAAACCAACTAATATAATACCATCTCTTCATCACTGCCTGCCACCAATAATAATGGCACTATCACCAATATATCACCATCACCACAAATGTTGTCTGTTGGTTTGGTTAACTTTTCTTTCGTTTCGTTTTGTAACGTATCTATGTATGTAACTTTTCATTATTGCTGCTCATTAATATTGCGGTCTCGCGTAAAACTCGTGCTACTTAACACCAATACAACAATCAACAAAAAAAATCTACATCAAACATCCATTCGAACAACCAACCCAATCCACTGTACTCGATGAAACACCATCACCACCTCCACCACTACCACAAAACGACGATAACGTTGACGATAAAAATGCAAATGTAAATGAACAAACAAACATTGAATTGAATCGATATTCTTATTCAACCACTCCACTGTATACTGCTCTCCACTTTATGCGTCATGCGACGAATGTTTTGTAAACAATTAATCAACCAATCAATGGTATTCAATGTGCAATGAATGAATCAATCTACTTAATAAAAACTTACTTGACTTTTTTGTTTAACAAATAAATGTTTCTGTGTCTGTGTATATATTTGTCTGCGTATGTGTGTGTTAACACACCAATACACAACTATAATATTTATTCTAAAAATGTGTGTATGACTGAGTATCAAAATAAATATTTGTTTAAAAATAAATAAAATTTTTAAAATATTTATAATAACAACAACATCTACTAACTCCCACCATATCACTTTGCCAATAACTGCAACTAACTAATGTTGTGTGTAACTTGTACATGTAACTTTAACTGTAATTGTAAAATGTAACTGTAACGTAACTGTTCATTAACATGTATGTTTGTAACTATAATATGGCGCCCCATGTTTTGTGTAGTCAAAAATAGAAGGGATTCAAGTAAAAATAGAAATAAATTTATTACTGTACAAAAAACAAACAATCAAAGATACGTTGTTGAAACAATAACTATGACTACCACTACAGTGTCAGAGAGACGTATTGTACGTGAGGCCACAGAGGATTTGGCAGCCAATGCAACAGCGTCCCCAGCAGCAACAGCGACAGCTAATGCATTGTCAGCAGGTGGTGATAGTGATTTATTACCACCTGCATTGCCAGCCAAACCGGGAGCAGCATCCATCAACAATGATTCATCTGATTCGGAGAAACCACCTCCAATACCACCTAAGGAATCCTCACCCACTACACAGATTAGCGGCATCTTAAAGGGTGGCAAACTATGGAAACAAGATTCGATTTCCCAGGTAATTAATATAAACACTTCCAAAAGAGAGCCACCAACAGTTTTAATTAATTTAAATTTTATTTTTTTTCACTTTTCTTTTTATGTGCTTAGCAGTCTGATGACCAAAATAACACCACCTCCGAAGATGAGGCTGGTTCTACTTCAAATGGCACCATAAAACGTTCAGTACGCTTTGTCACCGAAGAAATTAGCAACGATGAAGTCGATGGCCAGTCATCCAATGCCGATGAGGATAATCAAATTAACGAACTAATACCGATTAAGAAACATTCAACCCTCTTTAAAAATGCTTTGAGGCCCAATTCGGCTGTACAACAGTTATTTCCTAGTACGGTATCGCATCAAACTCTCACTTCGGAGGCATTGCGTGCTTTTGATGAGTCGAAGAGAGCTGGTTGTTTGGTGTCGACTTTACCTGGTAGTGCAGGAGATTCTGATACACTTAGACGCAGCATGGAGAGAAATATTTTAAGACGTTCATTAATAAAGTAAGTATGGTTACTTTGAGCACTAAATGTATTTGTGAAGTTGGTAATGTTCTTAAATTGAATAACATTTTATTGTATTAAAAATCAACTGTCTAGACAAAATTAATAATGTGTTTAACAGAGTTTTAGATTTCTTTATGTATTAATGTGTTTTAAATATTTCTGTTAATCTCTTAATTACCTACCGAATCCTAATCTAAAACACATGCTTTACGTGAACACCTGCTTTCACGGTGGTCATTCTTATCCACAGAGAGAACTTTTTTGATGACAAAACACCGCCCTTTGTATATCTCACACACCGCCCTTGGTATATCTCATACACCCTACATCCATCCCGTATTATATCCACTTGACACCAACTCATTTTCAATGCTTAGTCCCACTGTCACTCTTCTGCGGGGTTTCTGTTGTCTCGGCAACAGATCGACCTTATTCCGAATTATAAACTTCACCGTGTATCAGTCTTTTAACCAACTTTCTCTTCCCGCGAATTTAAACCACAGCCAATAACCGGAACAAGACAAAGTCCAAAACTCTTCCATGTGAGCTACCGATTGCTGTGGTACCAGATTATGAGGCTCTCTAGTTGGACATCATGTCAAATCATTGCAAGGAAAGTACGAGTATACATTTGATCATCACACATACTTTCCCCCGGATTGCAATTAGAAAGTAACATACTTCGGGTGGTATTGTATGTATTTTCAATACTAATTACAAAACCGAGATCCGATGCATTTATGTCATTGAAATATATTCAATTACTACTCTGACACAAGAAGCCAAAGTTGCCTTACTGAAAGTCCAAGAATTCTTCTCATGGTATGGCATCGGGCTGCTTTCTTTAGCTACATAGATGTAGTCAGTAAGTCGCGGTTGTGCGTCTGCCGAAAATTATCTTGTTAGATGGTGACCACAAATATTATTCTCATAGATGCCCAACAGAGAGGGGGAGGACTTGGTCCCATAAGTTTGTTCTCGATTCCTACGATTACGTTTTTTGTTATAATACCTTTCTTCTAATCGTTGCGTAACTGGAAACGTATTTAATCGAAATGCAAAATATGGGGTCTTAGTTAGTGGGCTAGATTAGGTTACATTAGTCGCTTTCAATTAGGTAAGAACACTATGAGATTATTTGGACTATTGTGAAAACTTAACATGATCCAAAATGATAAACCGGTACTTCTGAAGACCAACCAAAGGCTTCGGAGAAAAATTTCGAACCAGCACAGTTTCTAAAGCTCACGTTTCATCTTGTTGGTTTTATGTACTGCTGACATAAAAAGCAAAATTCTTTGATTGATCAAAAAATGGAATCACAATTACATATATACTTTATAAAAATCTTCAAATGATTTTCATATTTATTTTCTAGGAAAAAAGCCGTTAAATCCGATATATCATTAGAAGAACGAATTAAACAGCTCACTTGTGGCATCGACGAGGACAACGATGAGTCAGCATTCGAAAATGGCGATGACGATAATAGTAAAATTGAAGATAACGCCGATCTATCACATCGTGATAGTCCGGCTGGTGAAGAAAATCCACAGAAATTCACAGCTAATGGCAACAATAGCGACAAGAGTTTCTCGCCCAATTCTTCGGTGTCAAGTTCATCGAGCGGTTCATCGGCTTATAAGAAAATAACCGAGATTTTCAATCGTGAAAAGAAGAACCAGGAGAAGATTATGGAAATGGAAGAAAATCCTATCGTTATAATACCTCAGGTAATGCAGAGAATATCAAACGAGAACTCAAAGTTGTTAATATTTACATTTTTTTTAAATTTTAGGAATGTCGCTGTCCTGCTGCTCCAGATTTGGGTATGGGTGTTCAGGTGCCTGTGGTCCATACACAAATACATCGCACCCCTCCCAGACAAACTGAACCAAAACGTCAATTCCTTTCCACTTTAGCGCCACTGACCGCATGTGTGGCTGGTAATAAGGACGATTTGTCTTCGTATTACACATTGGCCGCTGCCCATCACAATCAGGCGGCACAGAACGCTCATGCAGCTGAATATAATTTAGCTGCTATGATGGCGGGCGAACAAAATTCTACAGGAATCTCACAAAGCACGGGTGATGAGGTGCGAAAAGTAGCTCCCGATGTTATAGCCGGAACCCCTGGGCAAGAGCAACAAGATGAACTCGCTGCCTTTGCCCAGCAAGAAGCTAATCGCACTGAGAAAATTAAGAAACGTTATGGCAACGAACCGGCTAATACCAAAGAAATCAACAAAGAGGCCAACTCAGATGATGACGAGGGCAATGACTACGGCTTCAATAAGCGACCCTCCGTACGCGGCATTAAGCCGAAATTCAGTTCGACCAATGAAATTCTCCAACAAATGCAAGACCAACTTTCACAGCAAATGCCCGGTGTTACTCAGACTCTGCCACAAGCCATGAAGAGCTACACCTTACCCAAACAATCCAGTGCTAGTGCCATGACCAAGCAATTGTCTCAACAACAGCCGTCACCACAGAATGTACCCCACCCTATTGCGGCCACTTCACAGCAACAGTTAGGGCAGCAACAGTTAGGACAGCAACAGCTAGGACAACAACAGTTAGGACAGCAACAGCTAGGACAGCAACAGTTAGGCCAACAACAGCAGCAAATGTGCAATGCCGTTGCTCCACCAACGCAGACTATGCAAATGCCATCTAATGCTGCCATTTCACAGCAACAAACTGAGCAGCGCACCTGGAGTTTCTACAGCGAAACAGGTGGAGCTGGTGAGCAACAACGTCTTCCGGTCGAAAGTGCTGCAGCCGCAATGCAACAGACCTACTATCAAACTCTACCGGCTGGTGCAATGTTCCGTCATACAATGATCCATCAGCAGCACGGGCCCGAAGAAGCAATGCTCTATGCTCAAAACTGTCAGGCAATGGCCACAACCATTGAACCGCAGCCACATTATGGTCACTATGCCCGAAGTCCTACCCGTCGACCCGAATCCCCACCTCCACTACGCAACTATCATCAGACTATGGTACTGATACCCTATAACGCCGAAACCTATTCACAATTCGCCGCTACCAATATGGATCCAAAAGTGGCGCACATACAGCGTCAGAATATTTTGGAATACCAACAGGTAGGCGAAATGACACAAGTAAGACCGAAATTTCAATTTTTTTCTAAATTTAAATGTTTGTACTCGTAATTATTTGTGTGGTTGGTGATTGGTTGTAAAGTTAATTAATTGTATTTTATTGTCGTTTGGAAACGAACGCCGATTTGAAACTCCTGCAAATGAGAGTTCGGTCGGGACAATGTTCTTGTTGTCTTTTAATTGATTTTCTCTATATGTTTAAATATTCATTAATTATATTCGTATTTCGTAAAATTTAGGTTACTCAACAAACTATACGTGTTCCGATTGGTTATGCTTTACCCGGTATGCAGTTGCATGTTGTGGCGGGACGCGGACAGGCTGCCCAATATGCCACAGCCGCTGCTGCTCAAACTCATCAACATCAGCATCAACGTATCATGACACAACGCTACCAATTTGCCCAAGAAGCCAGTATGGCGGGTTTCAGTGAACGAGGCGTGCCCGAAGGGGCAGCTGCTGTCTCACATAGCGATTGCACAAGTAGTGGAATGGTATCACCCACAACTGGCCAACAAATCGCCATGCAACAACAGCAGCAGCAGCTACAGCAAAATGCTCAGATGGTCCAACAGCAGCAACAACAACAGCAACAAATAAACTGTCAACAACAACAGCAGCAGCAACCCCAACCTCAAACACAAAATAATATGCAGTCGGCAGCCCAGGGATCCGTGTATTATGCCATGAACGTATGACCCACAGCTGATTAGTCAATGTCAACGGCGGTTATAGTCGAACGCCGCCAATGCCAACGTGTAGAGATGTCATCGACATCAGTACAATTGAGTACGCGGTAGAGTGAGATTAATTAAGAAATGAAACCAAAAAAACAGACCTTCACCCCACCTTAAATTATCCTTTCTCATCCCCCTGTCCCTTTTCACACTACTCCCTCTTCACACCTGAATGAGAGCTGCCATTATGGAATTTAGTAATGTACACAATAGATATGAAGTATTTTAAAATTGAATTGGCTACAAAAAAAAAAGAAGAAAGAATGATTATTTTAAATTAACTTAAAGTGAAACGAATGAATGCATGATTGAATCAAAAAAAAGAAAGGAAAAATAAAAAACGAATCCAATTTATAGAAAATGGATTTTTAGCAATAATAATAATAAATAATAATTACGAAGAAAAACCAAACGCACAGTTCTTGGCATATTTCCGTTTCAGTTTTCGCATTTAGTTTTTGTTTGATTACAGTCTTAGTATTGTTTCAGCGAAAGCAAACATTTTTTTAAAAAGTATGTTTTGTAATCGTTTTGAAAACATATGGTAAATAATGACAACGAACTGGAAATTATTAAATACATAAATGTATTGTTGTTTTTCGTTTTTTTTTTTAACTTTTCATTTTATCCCACTATATTTAAAGGAATTATTTGGATCAAAGGTTTCTCTATTAAACTATTTGGGAAAAGTTTTATTAATTTATTTTTAATTGCAATTTGAAAATTGCCTAATTCTTGCCAGTGATTTAGTTAATTTTGTTTAAATATTAACATTTGAATTAATTTAATAAAAAAAATATTCCAAGGCATCTATGCGATTGCAATAATCATTTAATGGGATCCAAAATTTTAAGTTTTCCAATGAAAATTGTTCGATAATTAATTTAAATTTAAATTTTTATTTATTAATTTACCATTACAACTGGTGCTTTAATTAATTAAAAGTAATAGAACATTTGTTTAAAAGATTTTGCTCAATCTTTAATAAATTTTATTAATAAAAGTTAAAAAAATAATTGAATTATTTTTAAATCTATGAAAAAATAGATTACATTTAAATTATGCAGAGCTTAGCTTCGGTTGAATTTATTTTGAAATATTTCAAATTTATTATTAAAATATTATTATAGTTCATTAACAATTTGCTATTTTATTTATGTTTAAATAATTAAATTAAATATCAATAAACAAAAATATAAAAATAAAACAGTGCCAAAGTTATTTTAGTATAAAAACTTAAGAAAAAAATCACGAAGGGAAAAACTAAACACAAAAAAAAAAACATTTTAAAATTAAAAAAACAATTATAAAATTGAAAAAAAAAAATACATTTTGAATAAAAATTTTGAAATAAATAAGTATATAATTACTACTACTTCCAATTAGGATACCAAAAAGAAAAAGAAAATAAATTTATTAAAACAAGTATTAAATGATTTTAAACACACAATTACAAAAATAAAATAAGAAGAAAATTCAATACTAAAAATTACAGAGGAATTAAATTTAAATATGAATATATAGAATTAAGTTTAAAAGTTAAAAAACCAAAACATTTAAACTAATAGTATTAAACAACAAAAACACAAACAATTTGAAATTATTTCAACAGTTATTAACCATTTGAATTAAATAAGTTGAAAAGAAAACTAAAATTTTATGAAAATTTATGTTTAATACTCAACCACTAAAAAAAAAATAAAAAAACAACCAAATAATACTTAAAGATACAAATATCTTTGAATACATTTATTTTTTAAACAAATAAGTAAAAATATTAAAAAATAGTAGTAAAAAACAATTAAAAACTAAACTATTATAATTAGTATTTTCAATATTTATAAAACAAAATTATACTTTATAAACACGAATGGGCAATTAATACAAATTGACATTTGAATATTTTTGTGAAACAATTTAAATTAAAAAAAAAAAAAAAATGGTGAAAAAAGTAAAATAACGAAATACAATTTAATAAAAAACCAAAAATTATATACATACATATAATATATATTTTAAAAATAAATTTACCAAAAAAAATTAGCAAAAACAAAAGAAAACTTTTAAAGCTTAAAATAATAAAATTAGTTTTAATTATTCGTATAAATATTATACATAAATACTTACATACATAGATAAACTTACATATAAATATAAACAAATTAAATAATAATTAAATAGTTGACAAATTTTTAATTAAAATTAATTGTACTTATTACAAAATTAATTGTTTTGAAGACAAACCTCTTGACATTTGTATCATACTGGGTGAAAATTTTCGATCATGAATGACATTTCGATCACAAATGAAATACATTTCTGTCTGTAAAAATGATTAAAGATCGAACTATTCACGCTCAGTTTTAGTAAAAATTATGATATTATTTTCAAAAATATTCTATTTATTTCTTATAGTTTAGTATTATTATAATTTATATTAAATTACTTAAAGAAAAACAACAACAAACCAAAATAGTCAGTCAATAATTACTAGATTTAAATAAAATAAAAACATTTTGAAAAAAAAACTAAAAACATAAAGAGTATTTTCCATTTTTCACATTATTGAAATAATTCAACTTTAAATTTTCCAAAAACTTTCACAAACTATCGCTCTTTTTCCCAAAAAAGACTTTTTTCATTGTCTCCATTTTTGTTTTCTTTAAATATTATTGTGTAAATGTCTGTAACTATTTATGTATGTCAGTCTGTCTGTCTGTTTGTCATTGTATTGTTCAATTCATTTTTTCAATTCTTATATAATTGTAAAATGTGAAAATAATGATGATATTTTACATATAGTAACCGTATTAATGAAATAAAAAAAAGGTTCATATAAGACATAAAAACAAACATATATACATAAATATAAATAAATAATAAATAAAATTACATATTGAATTTAAACCGTAACTTAAAAAAACAGAAAACAATTGTATTACCAAAAAAATAATAAAAATAATATTGAATAGGAACAGAATGAAGAAAACAACAAATTACACAAAATACTACTTATAATTACAACATATATATAAACATAAAAAACCAAAAAAAAAAAAATATTATTTATTGTAATAATTATAAAGAAATATACATTATTAATAAATATATGACTGAGTAAATAACTCGTAAATATTAAAAAAAAAGAAATATATACATAATTATATATATTAACAAAAAATGCATTTTTATTTTCAGCAGAAAAACAAAAGTTAGAAAAGAAATTTTAAACAATTTACAATTGCATTTCTAAATTTTTTAATTATATTTCAGAATTTTCCATTTGTAGTTTAGAAAATTGCAATTGTATTTCTAATTGTATTTCAGAAATTAATAAAATTCAATAGGAAAGTTCTGAAATACAATTGAAAATCTTGGCCTCGTCCAAGAACTGCCAATTCGACCTATACTTTCGTATAGGAAGCCAAAACTCCACTCATGAGTTTACTGGTCTCCACTAAAATCTTAAATAAGTTTTGTTTGGTATTCCACCATGTATCAAAGAATTTTTAGGTTATTAAATAAAAGCATGTGGTTAATACATAAAACTTCGAAGGACCCTAACGCGGTACAGTTATGCGGTGATACGTATTCAACCACTGCGAGAGTGAAACGCAAAACTCTCGAAGGCAGCGAAAGAAGGACAGCCTAATTACCCTTAAGCAATGGTAATGATGCGCGAAGGTCTTTATCCACACATAGCATAATTACGAATCTGATACAGAATTTTAAAACTCATACTATTCTAAATTCTAAAATAAACACATATTTTACTTTGTATTAAAGGTTCAACGTCCATTATTACTCTTTTTCTTCTTTATTGGCAAATATTACAATCTATTTGGAGCTTAAGCCATACATATGTAAAACAAATTTCCATGCGCTTCGATCTACAGCACTTCTTCTCCATTTTCAAACACCAAGTTCGGATCTTTCCCTCTGTGATTTGGCCGCCCTCTTCTGCATTTTCTCTCTGGGACATAATCGAAAGATTTCCTTGCCGGACAACATGCCCGAGCCATTGTAATCGCTGTAATTTGATATGTTTGACTATGTTTGCGTCATCATACATTCATTCGATATCGGTATTCTTGATGAACGCAGTCAGGGCCATATATTCTTCGGAGGATTCTTCTTCCAAAAATCCCAAGGACAGCTTCATCTGCCTGTGTAACTACCAATGTTTCAGCACCATATAATAGTACAGGTAGTATTAGCGATCTGTAGAGCGTAAGTTTTATATAGCTGTTTCCAAATTGCTTGCTAATACCGACATAACATCTACATGCAAGTATTATTCTTCGCTTTATCTCCATATACTTATGTAGATATCATTGTTTTTAGTTATGGCGATATAGAGGTAAAAAAATTTCACATAGACCAATTACCCCGTTGACTTTAGCCTTTAATATATTACACAGCAGGCTTGACAGAATCTTGTATGCCATAGGATCATATGGTTGTAGTTGGATCATATGGCCTTGTCGCCCTTTTTATGGACAGGACTCCATACACTAAGGTTCCAGTCTTCAATTAGTTTATGCATGTAACCAAGTAACTCGTCTCCCCCAGCTTTAAATAGTTCCAGGTGTTGTACACTTGACATTGTCATCCGTGATCGGTTCGAACGTACTAATAAACCATCATTAGATACCAATAGTCTAGAAAAAAGCTTTTTCCATATGTTCAACATACCAAATGTATCCGTTACGAAATTCCCATTTCCATCCCTAAAGAAAGAGACACTTGAACTGAAGCCATCCATATGATGTTAGGCTCTCATTTCTGTTCCTGTTCATTTTAAATTCCTCACACTCATGTCTTTCCACCTCTGTCTTTTTGCGCCGGAATAGACGCTTTTCCGCCCTCTTTTTTTCCATCGCAGCTCATGTTACCACTGATCGATGTAATGCCATGTAAATTTCGTTCTTCTCCCTAGTAGCGTAACCATACATATTGGCCACTCCAGGGAGTGGGCAATATGTACCCATTGTGTTTGTCACTTTGCTTAATCAAGTTCGATGAGCGTCTTCCATCAATAATAATATGGCCAATGTGATTCCTAGTAAGTTCATATAGAGATGTCCATTTTAGTGGGTCGGTCTCTATGGACAAAAAAACAGTTGTGTCAGTCACCCCCTAGGATTAAAGATATGTTAATAACATTTCCAAAAATATAAAAAATATTTTTTGCCACGCCTAGAAATACCGCCCTTTTTGTTTTTTATACATATATTACGCCGCCATTTTAAGTTCGATCGTAACATATAATATATCAATATTTATGGCTTGACTGTAGCCATAAATATCGGTAA